TTTACCAAATTGAAAATCGAGAGGAAGCAAACAATGTATAATCCAATTAAATCCATGTTATATTAAGAATCTAATTAGAGTATCAGATCGTTGCTGTAGAAGTAGGACAACAAATTAGAAAATATATATTTTTTTATTTTATTTTTGGCCCGGCTGGGCAAGTGCTACCGGGCCACTCTGGTAGCCTACTGTCTTAACCCAAAAAAAAAACGTACGTACGTTCTATTCAACTGACCTTGAAAAAATGGGCTTTCCGAAATCGCCGAGTTTTTTCCCGAATAGAACGTAACGTCGAATGTAACGTACATACGTCGTATTCGAAATATACAAAGTACGTACATCGTATTGGAATTTGCGCTAATTTAGTAATTTCACATTTTAAAAAAAACAGAGAATTCCGAAAAAAAAAACAAAAGTTGAAAAAAAAAAAAAAAAAAAAAAACCAAAAAAAAAAAAAAAAAAAAAAAAAAGAATAAAAATATCCACACCACAAGGGGGAGGAGTCGTGAGTGCATATATGCTTGTATCATTTTCCGACTTGCGTGAGGCAAAACAGAAAATTCCGAAAAAAAACGAAAGTTGGACAAAACAAGCTACCAGAACTAACCAATGACCGGAGCACTAAAAAGCCCTAGCCCCGCACCAACCCCACTCCCCACCCCTATTGCGACCCCCTCCACCTTTCTAGCATCCGTCTCCACATCACCACAATCCCCTTCATCTCACCCTTCACCTACCCCCCCCTCCCACACCCTCCATAATACAACAACCACTATACCTTAACTAACTAATATATAAACCCAAACACGGTCACCCCCAACCCCTCAGCATCCCCCTTTCAAGTGAAACCAAGAGCCCTGAACTGCCCCACCAGCCTTAGCAGGATAAGAGACAGATGCGACCACCGGTGATAGGACAGGACAGAGAAATGACAGGATAGGCTTTAGTGTTTTGTCACCAAACACAGGAAAAGACCAGGGGCCAAGTCCCACTTACGCTGATCCGTGATGATTTCTGGTCGTTGATCCTCCGGATCTGCGGTCAAAAATCGATCATTCGGGTACTAAGTGGGACTTGGCCCCAGATCCCCAGTAAATCAGGCTAACTTAGGCAGGGGTGAAGGGTGGTACATCCTTTCTTTCTCCGAGAAGTAATCAATGCCGTCCTTCGGACCTCCACACCACAAGGGGGAGGAGCGTGAGTGCCTAGATCCTTGTATCATTTTCTGACTTGCCCGTGGAATAGGAACAGGACTGCTGCTCCCCAGAATGGAAAAGGAGCCGGAATCATAAGGTTCCGTTTATTAAAAAAAAAAAAAAAAAAAAAAACTTTTGATGGCATTTTGCAGTGTTTCTGATTTTTGCTTTCTCAAAAATAATTCAAAAAAATCTATAAAAAAAACTATGTTGTACGAAATTACAATACAAACAACTTTTGCCTGAGGGTCTTGGAAACATTCCAAACCAAATTCGGAAAAAAAAAATCGGAAAAAAAAAAACAATTCAAAAAAATCTCAAAACAAACTATGTTGTACGAAATTACAATACAAACAACTTTTGCCTGAGGGTCTTGGAAACATTCCCAACCAAATTCGGGAAAAAAAAATCGGAAAAAAAAAAGAAACAACTATGTCTGGTACTACAAGCTCCTAGCCTCCTACAAAGTTGTACCCTAAAACTCGTAGTAAAACGTACGTACGTCGTATTCGTATACATCGTACGTACATTTTTTTCGGGTTAAGACAGTAGGGAGCGAAAGGCTGTGGCGGGGTGGTGAGCTAAGAATTCAGGCTTCAGGGCTTAGGGTTTAGGGTTTAGGGTTTAAGGTTATTTCTCCTTTGTGAAGTTTTAGGTACAGGCCACACTGCTGCTATGCTTGTTTTCAGCTAGCATGAACCTGGTCAATTGTTCAACCGGGTTCACGACGCTGTCTTCTCCTCGTCTATGGACTCCATAGACTGTCCATGTGTAATCTTGGGTGATGACTCTCTCTCTCTCTCTCTCTCTCTCTCTCTCTCTCTCTCTCTCTCT